GATCTCCACTCCGCACTCCCCCCATCATTCACTATGGTAAGATTTTTTGTTCTGATGATGCCTTACACCTGATCCCCTCGACACCTCGTGGTTGCATAGGCTGGTGTGCTTCTTCCATGTGGGCTTTGTTGCTTCTGAGCTCGATGGCCAAAACAAATATATTTTGTAAATGCAACAAAACTGAGTATTCCTCATTTGTGCTAAAAACGTAATGGATTCATAAGACACTAAAACAGCTCCTACTTGCTTATTTCAATTTCCAGTGTCTTGCTCATTACTGATTGTCAATAAATGCTCAATTATGGCAAATTGAGGTAGATTTTTTATACATATAAATTCATCTAACTGGATTACATTTATTAGCAAAGCTGATACCTGAAAAATAAAATCCATAACTATGATTGAATCCAGTAAGTGTGCAAATAATGGCTATTGGTGTAAATTTACCAAAAGTTACCAGTAAATTAAGAATGCACTATATAGGAAGAAGGACTATTTATAATAGACAAACTTTTAAAAGTCATAGTTTACAAATATGATATAGAAAGGGTTCTGCTGTTAATCAAGTGATGAAAGATTGATGTTTCACATAATTAAAACCCCTGATGAAATTGCAAGTAATGAAAAATCTGGAAAACAAATAGGGAAAACATAGATTTATGAGTCCATATCTTCCTATGACTAATTTTGAAATTTGAAAAACAAATTTCAAAAGAAGATAAGAACTCTTTCTGAACACATAAGATGCCTAACCAAAGAATTGAGACAACTCTAATAGTAATTCCTATTTCCATCAACAAATGCAGAGCTTTGTCATCAATATTCATCAAATTACAGAGACAATTATAACAATGACAACAAAAAAATTTCAATTGCCACTTATAAAGACATAGTGGAATTAATTATTTTTTTATGTGCCACATTTTCTGGGCATCTCTCTAACAAAAAATATAACTAAAAAGTCGCAATCTGTATCTATCTATAGACACACATATGTGTATTTATATATGCATAAATTTCATGTGTGCCTGTGTGTTTATGTGCATATATAGCTATAAAAATCTAGCCTTCATGTAAATTACTAGAAGAATAAAAATGCATATTTCTCAGATTTATTATTTCTTACATGTCTTTGAGATAATTGATAAACACATTATCAAGAGAAAACAAAAAACATCTGAGTTAGTTAATTGTGCCAGCCTGGCCGATAATCACACGTGGGGCTGATTGAAAGGAGGAGGGATAAATGGGTGGTGAAGCCTCGCCTTTCTAGTTCTCAGGTCTCTTGTTTTGTGATAGTTGCACTGGGTGCAGCTGCCTTAGCAGTTCCCTGCTTCAGCTTGCAAGAATGACTTCCTACAAGACATCCCAAGGAGAAGCTACATGAACCTATCCCGATGCAGCCCTGGGTGCTGGAGCAGCCGTGTGGAGACCCCTGCTAGTGCTGAGATGCTTGTTCGTTCACTGACTCAGCTTTCCTCCTGCAGTCAGCATCATTGCCTCTGTTATGTGAGGTGGAGGACTTTGTGGACTGGTGTTGGGTTAATGGGTTAATGTTGGACTTGTGGGCTTGGGCAGCATTGGGTTAGAATATTTTCATGATGCACATTTTCTTTACATAAAACTCTCTTATACATGAGTTGCTGTGGATTTGTTTCTCCAAAGTACCCAGACTAATACAACATCCTATCATATTGCATTCTCAGGAACTGTTTCAGGAACTGTTTTGAGTTATTCTGTCTTGACAGCCTGCAAAATTTCCAAAGGTTAAAGGAAGATGATTGTTTTTCTTCCTTACAAAATTTAGTGGGGGTATGTAAAAGCAGATTAAAGTATGTCAGGCCCTTTGAAAGAAAACATTGCTCTTCTTTCAAGAAGGTTTTTATGAGGCAAAAAAAAAAGCATTGTAAGCAGTTCTGAAAACATAACTGAAATGCAATTTGATAAATGGCTTCCATCATCCAAGCCAGAGCAATGGAAAAGTATGCTATCAGCACTTTCATCAAAGGCACTATTGACTCTTCTTTTTCTATTTCATTTTACTATGATTTTTTCTTGTTATGTATTCAATGAATGATGGGAGAAACGGATTCCTTACCCTGTGATTGAGGCATGATGGCACCTGCTGGCAACAATTCCTTTTCTCCATCTTGGCTGGTGCTGCCGCTGCCTTCACTCCCGCCATCTCTTTCCGTCAGTCTGTCCACCATGGCAATGATGCAGTTCAGGCTCTTCCCCACACTGGCCCACACCCGATCCTGAAGAGAGCATTAGTATCACTAGACGTTTTTACTGAAAACACCACATAGAGCATAATCACATGAATCTGTTGTCTCTAAACCTGGAGGAAAGAACCAGTGGAACATGCCTGAGTGAACAGCTATAGAACTCCCATTAATTTGGCCAGACTCTGGATACCGAATACATGTAAGTCAATTTTCTCTGAATAAAACAAAGATTAATTGTGGCATCCCTCTTATTCAGTACAGCATTTGCACACTATCTTTAAAAAAGGATGGACATTTAATACCCTATAGCTCCATTACTAAACACAAACGAAGGCTTTTTAATTGGAGAAATCTATCTTCCTATCCTTAGTGAAAATGCAAAGAAGCACCAAGGTTCTTAAAGAAGGACCATTACTTGCATCAGATATTCTGAAAGTAAGGACAGTCTTCAAACAATCACTATGAGAGTCTTTCAGAATATTAAAATACATATTCCGATGGAAATCTGGATCTCATCAAGTAATAAGATCCATTGGGTAAACCAACATCCAAACATGTTATTGCTGAGCTGATTCTAACCCAAGGCGATCCCGCATGGGTCACAGTAGAACTGAAATCTATCAGGCCCTCTTGGTTCCAATCTTTACAAAAGCAGATCATCATGGCATTTTTTTTATGATGCTGGCAGGTGGATTTGAACCAACCAACCTTGGGTAGCAGCCTTAGGCAAACCATTTGTGCCACTAAGAAACTGTCCACTGTGGAGAAGGATCAGCAAGTTAAGAGGTTGAAAACCTCCCAGATGCTGCTGGCCACAATGTCTGAGGACTTCTCAATGTTATATGGTACAGCTGACAGAATAGGTCACTTGGGACCATTTCTTGTCAAGGAGGTCCTATCACGTAGCAGGATCCTTGTAGGTCTTAAAGCAGTGTATTCCAGTTTGAGGCTTGCACTCCAACTGGAAATCTTGTTAAAATGCAGATTGTGATTCAGTATATCTGGGCTGGAAATGCAAATTCCAAGTAGAGTGTCAAAAAGAAATGAAATGCTGTAAAGCCCTTGTATTGTCTTAGTGTTCTCCACTTCTCTGGGTTCCAATATCCATTGCAATGGCTACACATAAACTCAGAGACACAATGCATGATCAAATGGTTTATTCAGGAAGTTAACCAGTTATAATACCAGTGAGAAATGCTCAGAGTAGTTGTTAATCAGGATATGATACGAAGCTCTAACAAACCTGCTAATAAATACCCAAAGGACATACCACTCTGCTATAAATCTCAACCACGAGGCATTCAGCTTAAGCTTCATAGGTCAGCATGTCCAACTCTCCCAATTAAGTCCCCAGAGGCACCCTACTCCACAAGCCAGCCTCCTGCACAAAAGACTCAGCTTTACTTGCTGCCTGGGTTGGGAAGTCCATCACTCTGTTCCATGTTCTGACTCCTGGTTCTGCTGCTGCTCCTTTGATATTATAACTGTCATCTGGATCCAGGAAGTCCACTACACAGGGATCTCAGGTCAAGAGGGCATGGTCTATTCCTGTCTCTTGCTAGTAATGAGTTCCTTCTGCTTCTGATTTTACACTCAGAATCCTGTTTGCAGTTATTCACAGGGGAATCTATCAGTATCTTCCCCCACCTTCTTACCAGGGTCATGCAGGGAAAGGTGGTTTGGTGGGAGTGAGAGCCTCTGGCTTGAAGAGTCACATTAAATCGTTCACTGCCCCTGTTCTTTGCCACTAATCTTTCCATTTTTAATTAGTTCCCATTTTTCTTTAGGGCAATGAATGGGACCAAATTATTTGATTCATATAAATTGCCATTATATTTTTAGAACAAATTTAAAATATAGTTATGATGGGAACCTGCCATCCTTTGCTTCTTTCTTTGCTCCTCTTCCCACATGCGTATTTTAAATAGAGGCATTGGCTCACCAGCTATCCCTCTAGATCAAAGGACTGAAAAAGGAGTTAGGATGCTTTCTTTGTATCTTGCCATAAACCAGTCCTGTAGTTGGTCCTTTTATTTTTAAATAAATAGACCTATTTTAGTCTCCAAGAATACTACTTAGTGAAAATATAATATTCAATTATAGCATATGTATAGTTTATATATTTCACCCAACATATCTATATGCATATATACACATACATATATATATACATATATAAGTTTATAACTCCCAACTCACTGCCATCAAGTCAATGTTGACTCATAGCAACTCTCTGTGGGTTTCTGAGACTATAACTGTTTATGGGGGTAGAAAGCCCAGTCTATCTCCCTTGGAGGTGCTGGTAGTTTTCAACTGCCAACCATGCGATTTCAGCCCAATGCAGAACCCACTACATCATATGCATACCTATGTCTCCATAACCTACTACACCACATGATACATATTTTGACTTCCCCTATCCCCCAAGTGATGAGTACTTGTTTCTAACTTTAATGTAAAACACAGAAGAAAGAACTATAGCTGAATTAAATTCCTTGCTGTTTTTAAAAAGATAAATTGGTTGAAATAAAACAATCACTTAAAAACAAATGTGTGGGTATGCACAGATGGGCACATTTTAGCTGAGAGGTTAACAGGGACCAGTAGAAATATTGTACAGGCAGTCCTCAAGTTACAAACAAGACCCACTTCCTTATATTTAAGTGTTTCCTGAATGTAATTTGTAGGTAAGCTGATGCAGATGCATATGTCAGTGCAAACAATAAATAAAACTCTTTTCAAGGACTAAAATCCTCATGAGCTGCAAGTGCAGGTGATTTTGCTGAAATATTCATTCTAAGTTGGGCTTAGTTCAATGGTTTTAAAGTAAAGATGATTTCACCTAAGGTTTATGGGAAAGCACCATTTGTTGTTAAATCTGATGTTAGTAATCCAGAAGGATCGCCTGTACATTTAAAAAAAAATAAAGAAAGAAGCTTGAGCTGACATGATATTGATGATTCAAGGGTAGACTTTCCCCTCCCCTGTAGGAGATGTAGTTTAGATACTTGGCCACAGCAATTTATGAACATCCACCACTCATCTATCAGTCTCCACTTGCTCGGTTTGATTAGAACAAGTTTCAGTGGACCTTCCAGATACTAGGAAGAAAGGCCTGAGGTCAACTTCTGAAAACCAGGTAATTAAGACGTAATGAAGTCATATGATCCAATATACAACAGGTCCTGTGGCTGGTGCAACACTAGGTAGTATTTCTTTCAGTGTAAGTGGTGTCACCATGGAAGCTAAAATAGCAACAACTTTGAGGTTCAGTGGTGGAATCGACAACCCATTTTGCATTGAGAAAAGCACATCTCTGGGGAGGTACAGTTATTTCATCTAGAAATTGGAAGGATACCTGTCACCTGCCTACCTCACCATGCTTCAGTGCAAGCTCCATGAAAGGAATTCAGAGAGAGTACTGAATGGCATTATTTCAATTTGTCAAGATCATAGCCAATCTTTATTGGTTTTCCAAAAGGTATCAGATGTACTTTTCATGACCCTGTAATCTTCAGTGTGAAGTATTCTATTAATCACAGAAAATTAATCACAGATAATCTTCCCCAAAGGCAGGTGGGTCTTCCCCTAAAAGATTAAAAAGTAGTTTCTCCTCTAAAGTGATCAATACGCCAATCATAACCACAGATTACATCATCCTGTTTCTTACTTGAGAGAATGGGGTGTCCACCCCTCTGAGTTATGGATTAGGAGAACTCCAGAAGCTTACCTGTTCCAGAAAGAGATGCTGGGACAGGTGAGAAAGCCGAATGTCCTGACATCACTCATATTAGGATTCAGTGAGGTCCTTACATTGTAAAACCACAATAACATAGTTAACGACCTCCAATTCAGAATGTACCTTAGTCACCACCAACAACTGTTGTTAAGGTAATTGAATGAAGAAAAGGGAGTTAAAGAAATAAAGCAACATGCCAGCTAAAACTGGCAATGATAAACTCTGCCACTTATGAGAAAAATGGGAGGGGTGGCCCATTTCAATTTTCCCGATTAAATTTCCATATGAGATACTTTTTCAACCATTTTCTTGTTGCCCATGTTATATTTTGATCACAGATCAAGTGATATTCCACACTTTGTTTACATTAAGGAAGAAGGATGAATCTATTGCTCTTATTCATGCCTCTTGACAGCCTGAATGTAGGGGTACTTAAAGGATGGTCTGATAGTAACCCTTATGTACTAGTCTTCCTTTTCAGATAACGCAGTTTACAGACGTTCCCTGGTTGATGAAATAGCATCTAGCACCAGTCGAGATATCCTTATCAGCCTAAATTAGTGAAGCATATTCATTGTCTAAGACCAATCATTATATAGTAAAGGATTATATGGAAAAACTGGAAAAGCGCCCAGGTACTTAAATGCTAGAAGATATGAGCTGTGGGGACATTGGTTGGAGTGAGGGGGTGAGCAGAACATCTTTCATAATACTAATATATCACACATGCAAAATCAAATACTTTGCTGAAGTTATACTCAGCATCAAATCCCCAAGAGCAGGCCCATTATGCTCCCATCTTTTATTAGGGAGCAGATCCTGTCTAGCGAGTGGCACTCCATTAGCCACTGCTCCCTTCTCCGTCTCTATCTCCTTGTACTGTTTGTACACCTTTATTCTAGAGTAGGCATCTCTAGAGTAGTCTAACATGAAAAATCCGTTCTTCTGTACTGGGCCAGGAGTCATTTAGAACTGTGCCTTCAGTTCAAAGCATAGGACTTGACAGGGAAAAACTTTTGTTGAAAGAAATGAAGGGAAAGAGGGAGAAAAAGAGCACGGGAGAGAGGACGAGAGGAGTGGCCACACTCCAGAGAGAGATGGAGTGCTGCTAGTGATATGTTCCTGATGTAAATAACTGATGGCTCACTTACACCTTAAAGACCAGGATAACAGTTTAATATTATTGTTCTCATTTTTCAAAAGGAATAGGCCACGAGTGAGATAAAGTCTATAACTTTCGATATTAAAATACTAGAACTTGACTGGAAGTCCAGGTGTATTTGATGTCTAG